ATCAACAATTGAAAGTGCATTAACAAATGTATTACATTGACTTGTTTCTTCATTCTCAATTTCAAGGGGAGTGACTGTCAAAATGCATTTTGGACAAGTAACGTTGTCTTTATAAATATAATAGCCACCAATTGACTGAGTTAGTTGTGTATCATAGATTTTATTTGTTTCGATGTTCCATAGAGTTGCGAGAACAATATAGCCAACTTTGTAGTTTGATAGAGTCTCTCTATTATTGCGTAGAATGTTGATTGGAATAAGAGTATATGATTGAGTAAAATATGTAAATTCAATCTTTCTGTATTGTTGAATTTCTCCAAATCCAATAGAAGAATAATCATAGCTACCATCATTGACAAGTTCAACGATTACATCGTTAGTTGCTACTTGATAAACAGGGTTGATTCCGCGTAATTTATATTTACCTCCTTGATACATACAGTAAACAGCAGATATATTATCAACATTTGCATAACTAATACCAAATCTTTCAAAAGGTCCATTTTCATCATATGGTGTAAGGACAAGATCAAATGGAACAGAACTATATTTTTTCTTCGTACGTTTATCTTTTGTTGTTACTGTAGAATTATCTTCATCATCTGTTTCTATTTTGAAGTGAAACAATGAATTGCATGGAATTCGGATTGGATCATCATCATCACTTTTGTCTCCTAATTTTTTATCCAATTTTTCTATTTTTCTTTTGTTTTTGTTAAGATGATTATGTTCACTTTTACTTGAATTATTGGGGACAGTTATACTGAGAGTAGCATCAATCTTTGAATATGTTTGGAATGGGTTGGAGCCCATTTTGAAAGTTTGGGAACTAAAGTCTTTATCTCCATATCCTGAAACCTGAAGGCTAATTTCTTCAAGCATATATTCAGAGGGACCAACATTTTCTCTAAGAAATCTTACGGTCCAATTTCCTTTTGCTGTTTCTCCAAAGAAGTCCCTAGCAGTAATCCTATATGTATGTAATTCTGGTTCATTAATTGGTGCAATATCTTTGACAAGCCTTTTTGTTCCCATTGGTGAAATGATATAAATTCTGAAGAGAGAATAATCAGAAACACCAATTGAAAATCTCAAAATAAGCTCAACAAAATCAATGTATTTGATTTTCGAATTTGCCAGTTGTAGTTTAACATCGAAAAATCCAGAAAGAAATGATGGAATTTTAAGTGGAAGAGATCCCTGATCATTTTTTTGATTTGGAATAAATTCAGCTGTTTCTATTTTAACTTTTGTTTTATGGCGATACCATCTGGCCATCGTAACAGCAGCTTCAGCATCTAATCTCCCAAATCCGTAAATAGAAGAGTATCTAATTCCAACGTAATTGTCTTTCCATGATTTGGAATATGGATCATTTTTGGCAGATGTTAAAGCAATAATGGCTACTATATCATTTCGTTGTAGTGGTTCATCTGTTGCTGATAAAATTAGTGAAATTACGCCTGCTGCCATTGCACCGCCGGTGCCAATTGGTGAAACGGTTTCTGAGCATGTTTCCCCAAATCCATCGCCTGTTGAAATATATGCTGATAGAAGGGCTGTAGTTGAATCGTAATCATTTCCTCCTGTAACAACTGATGCCAAAATAACATTTCCACGAAGAGAAGTGCCTGTCCTACCACCTCTCTGAGATATTTCTGCAAAAGTAAGAATGTAAGGATTGGCTGGATAATATAAAAAGTTAAGATCTTCGTTAGCTTGAATGACTCCTGACCGAACAGAAGAAATATAAATTGCCTGAAGCTTACTAAAGAAATTCTCTTCGTTTTTATCGAAGTCTGAAATAAAGCAATATCCATAAGCGTATTGAGAATATGAAGGGAAAACGCGGATTGACCGATTAACATTTTTATCACGTTTAATTCCATCTTTATAACTTTTTTGAGCTTTATTTGTAGTCAATACGTTAATACAACTGATTGAAGATTTATATGCAATTCCGATTCCGCATATTTTATTATCAGAACCAGCTGCAATTGTGGCTAATTTTGTTCCAGTACTAGTTATAAACTGACGAGGATCATATGAAGGATCATTTGAATCGGTTTCATAATTATAAGATAAATTAAAGTCGAAATTTTCTTTAAGTTCGGTATGATTTGCCTGGCATCCATCATTAATAATAACAATGTGGACCCCTTGACCAGCATTTCCTTTTTTCCATACAGGAACAACATTTAAATCTTCACCTTGTATACCATTGAAAATATTTCCTTCGTTTTGTAGATAATATTGCTTATTAAAAAGAGGATTATCTGATGGTGAAAGTGAGTATGCAACTTGAGCAAAGGAGGTGAATAAAAGAATAAAAAGCATTTGTATTACTATGAAGACCAAAAAAGAATTTAATTTTGAAACAATTTTTTTTGAAACGATTTTTTGAAAGTTGAAAATGATAATTTTCAACAATAAAAATTTAATAGTTTGAAATGTATCTTAGTTTTTTTAAAGCCTATAAAGATTTATATAAAAAAATGTATTACAAAGATTGTATTTGCCAAGTTCTTTTTTTTTTCAGAATAGATAATTATTTAATTTGAATTATTCAACGATAGTTTTTTTCTAAATATTTGAATTAAAAAAATTACGGTAGAATTTTTCCAGAAAATAAAAATGAGTAATGATTTAGACGGATACAACCCTTTCGAAAATCCTTCAGATCAAGGACAAAGTAACTCAATTCCACAACCATCTACAACAGCAACAACTTATTCGCCTCCGCAACCATCTACAACAACTTATTCAAATGCTTCTGCATCAAATTCAAGGTTTGTTGATCCTGTTGCTGGAATGGTTCAACTTAGTGATGCTGATTTATCAGCAAAAGAAGCAGAATTAGCAAGACGTGAAATGGAAATCGCTCGTCAAGAATCCCTTGTAGCAAATGGAATTCCTGTTGAATCAGCTGGTATGATCAATCGACCTAAAAACTTTCCTCCATTTATTAAATTTTGGAAATATTATCCAGAACAAGAAATTCCTTCAGATTCTCAGCCACTTCTTAAGCAAATATTTATTTTATGGCTTGTTATAGCAGGAACTTATTTAGTAAATTGGATTGTCTCCTTCTGTTGTCTTGCATGCGCAGATGCCCTAGGTTCAGTTGGTAGTTTACTTGTTTTATCTACTGTTTATTTATTTGTTTTTATTCCAGTTAGTTATGAAGTATGCTTTTTTGTTTTGTACCGAGCCCTTAAAGAGCAAAGAGGTCTATCGTTCTTTTGCTTCCTATTCACTTTTGCAATTTGGGGATTAATTATCGCATGGCATACAATAGGAATTTCAGAAGGTGGCACTGTTGGTTGGATTCAAACAATCGATTTGTTCTTAGGAAAGCACTCTTTTGTTGGATTTCTTGGTGTTGTTGTTAGCTTGGCATATACTACTTGCGTTGCTGGTGTTATTTACTATTGGATCAAATGCTGGAATCATTATAAGAAGAATGGTTTGAAGTCAAAAGCATTTGGAGAAGCTTCTACACTTGCTGCACAATATGCATCCCAAAACCAAAATATGTTCAACGATTCGCAAGGAGCTACTCAAATTTAATTTAGCATTATTTGGCAAAATTATTTCAAACTTTGTTTATTACCTAAATAATATGCTTTTCTCTCTCTCTTTCTCTATTATATTAAGCTTTTTATGGGTTAGAAAAGAAAAAAAAGAAAAGTTCAATTGAACGCAAAGTTTATTAACATAAAAACAAATTGAATTGAGGAACCCCTTGTTAGAGGTAACTCAAAAAGAAATTTATATAGGCGCTCAACTAATTTTTTTTTTTTTTAAAACTCGAAAAGCTGATCAAAAAGAGTTGTATCATCATTTAGATGATCCAGAAGTTGAAAGAAGTCAAAAGCATTGTTGTCTTCAATAAAATTTTCGAATGGGCTATTTGGTAAAACTCCATTCAGATTATTGTCGACATTTAGCTCTTGAATTGATTCCTGGACCATTTCTATAGGTGACTCTGGCTTCGGAACTTCATTCTTTCGTTTGGTTCGCTTTTTTTTATTATTTTTTGATTCAGTTCGATTTGAATAGTGAATGAAATCAGAATCTGATGATTTGATCAGATTGCCTTTTTCATCCAACTCATAGAAAGTTGACTCTCCATTCTGGCACCAGGCAATCCATTTGGCTTTGATATGACAACAAGGTCGTCCTGGTTTCATAGAGGCAGAGTGAAGTCAAAACGGCTATAAAATTTTATCAAAAAGAGGAGTATTGAATTTTTTTTATATAAAATGTTTTTATCTTTAAAAATAACAAGCAATTTTACGTGAAAATATATCTTGCATAATAATGATGTTTTTGTTATTTTATTAAACATCTAAGTAATATTAAATAATTTAGAATTAATAATATAAATATTATCAGGTAAATATTTTAAAAAGATGATGATTAGTTTAAGATATACCGTGAAAAATAAGTTATAAAATATGTCGGTTAAGGAGAAAACTCAGCCAATGTCTTGTTATTAACCAAAATTGTTCAAAATCTGACCATATATTACAACCGTTATTTTTGAATGGATTATTCTACGAATTTCTCGTAACAACTTTTTGAGAGCGTAGTTCGTAAATATCAGAATTGAATACACTTTTTGAGTTTTTCTCTCTCAAAAAGTGTGCATTCAAGATATTTTGAAATAAATTTATAACACTTTTGTTTTTTTTGAAAGAAAGAAGATTTTATTTGAAAAAAGAAAATAAAAATGCAAATATCTTTTTAAAAGTCGCTATTACTATGATAATATATGAGATAATACTTTATGTATACTATTTTAATTTCGTTTTTGTTATAAATAATAGAATTCAAAGATTAAATAGTAAAAAAATTGTTACACTTTCCTTTATGAAAATGAATTTTTCCATAATCAAATAGAACTTTTCTGTTATTAAAGCATACTTTTATGTTATAATCCTGAAAAGACTGTTACATATTACGTGCTTCAATTAGAGACAAAAAAAGTTAAAAAATGGTTGCTGTGGGGTTCGAACCCACGCCCAAACCGGACCAGAACCTTAGTCTGACGCCTTAGACCACTCGGCCAAACAACCTTGTTGTTCATTCTGTTTTATAAATATAAATAAATAAATAATTATGCATTTTAATCATTAACACCAATCACACCGCCGTGTGTGATTCCTCTTTCATTGAACGAATCAACACGAACATAATAATGGCTTCCAGCCACCAATGCACCAATCTCCTGCCGGTTCTTGCCAAAAACGCGGTAATCATGATATAGCTTATCTGGCTTAGTTCCCCACAAGACTTCAAATCCAACCGCTTTTTTACACTGCCATTCAACAGTCATTGTCAAATGATCAGATCTTTCAACTTTCACATTTTCAACTTTCGAAGGAAGTTCACCTTCTTCATCTTTGCCAAAAATTCTCAATCCAGAAACGCAGGCACTTTGACCATACGGCATTTCAAACACAGTCAGCTTGACAAACCTGATTTTTCGCCCTTCTTCAATAACGACAAAATCGTGAGCAAGACTCGTTTCAGACTTCGACTTGTCCTTAATTAAAAACCAGTTCTCGTCATCAATGTTGCCTTCAAGAAGCCATCTTGTAGGAAAAGTTCTATCGTCGATGTATCGTGCGCCATGTTTTTCAATGGTGCTAAAAAGTGACAAATTTTCAGGGATTTTGACGTCTTCAATTTCATCTGCAAAATTGACTTGAATAGAATTAACAGTGATAATCTTTTCAAGGTCAATTTTTAACCACTGATGATCGGCAGGAGTCGACTTTTTCTGAGTTTGCCACCATGTTTGGATATTCTCTTCAACTGAATATGATGCTGCTTTTTTTCGGTTGAGGCGGTTACAGTTTTGCCATATGAAAGAAGCATCCATTCTGGTTCTTCCCATGGATCTTTGGATGATTTTGAAGGAATTTTAATAGGCCAATCACCATATCTTTGATTACAAAATAATTCACCATTATGGTCAAATCCACAAGGCCAAATGCCAATTCTTCTTTTAAAATTATGATTGATTGAAATTCGCATAGTAGAAGTGTGCCACCAATTTCCTTGCATATCTTCCATTGTTGATCCATGGCCAGCTCCTGGGCAGAAACCTCCTGGTGAATATGAGAATAGATTATTATCAGCTAAATGGAAAGGACCTAAAGGTTTATCACTGACATAAACACCATCTGAATATATGTTGAATTCTGTGCCTGGAGACGCATATTGTAAATAGTATTTTCCATGATATTTGGTCATCCATGCTCCTTCGATATAAGGATTATTTAATAGCATCGATCTAACCATTTCTGCGTGTTCTTGCGGCATATTAGCCAATATTGGTTCTAAATCTGTGATTTCTTCTGGTTTACAATGCATCATTTCGGCTGCATTTGCTTTGATGAGACTAATTATTTTATTTTCTTTGTTTATGCAATGATGATTTTCGCCAACTCTCTCATGTCCCAATTCATTTTGATGATTTTTTATTAATGAAATGGGATCACCAATTTTTTTCATTGTTTCTTTATCAAGTTCAACTCCATTTCATGAAATGTATAAACTAATAATATTTTTAGTTTATATTTCTTTTTATTTTTGAAAAAATCCAAGTATTATAATTTTTCGAAACAAAGCCTGATCTTTTTATGTAATATTTAAAAAGAAAATTATAATATTTTGTTAAATTTTGTTCATCGAGTTTAAACAAAAACTTTTTAAATTCATCAACTTTTTGAATTAAAAATTCAATATTACTGAATTTGTTCTTGGAATTTGGGAGTTCGTTTTCTATTATAAAATTATTTTATAATGGATAATTTTATTTTTTTTAAATTAAAGTATTTTTATATTGTGAAATTAAATGATCATTTCTAGAACAAAACATATAATCTTTCTATATTTTTTGGTAATATCAAACATCAAAATTCAATTAATTCAATTGTAAGTATTTTTGAATTCAATTCAATGAATTGATAAATCAGTTTTATCAACGTGTATTCAAATTATTTATCGTAAGATAATGACAACTTTTCGTAATTAAATTGTAGAATCAAGCTTTTTCTTGAGTTTTCTTGTTCTTTTTTGGAAAATAAGTAATTCAATGAAATTTGAATTTTTACGATATAAAACAATTCTTTTTTTAATATTTCAATTGAAATTTGATTTGGGATCAATGAAAATTTGTGTTTTTATTGAATTTTTTACAGAATTATCGTATATTGTCAAAAGAATCTTATTTTATGTTTCTATAAGATCAATATAAGCCATTATATGTATACGTACCAGATCATTTTATTAAACGAAGATTTTGATTATTGAATATATTGAATTTATTTGAATATCAAAAAAAATTTTATTTAAACAGTTTTAATGTATCCAACAGATACAACGAAATATAATTTTCACGAAGTGATAAGCAAAGGCATGAATACAATATCATACAAAGCAAAATGTATGGAAAATAATGAAATTCTTTGTCTCAAGCAAATTAATCTTAATTCAAGCGATATTAGTATTTCAGACCTCCAAAATAAAATAAAAATATGGTCACTTATACAAGGGGAAAGTATTTTAAAATATTATGGATCTTTTGTTGAATCAAACTATTTCTATTTATTAAGTGAATATCAACAATATGAAAATTTAGGTGAATTTATAAAAAATAATTATCCTCATGGAATTGCTGATGAAAAGCTCGCATCATCATTTGTTGAATCTATTATTAACGTTTTTTCATTCTTACATTCAAATAACTTAATTCGAAAAAATACAGAATTAGAGCACTTTCAGATAGCCCATGATGGATCATTGAAATTAAATGAACTTGAATTCTGTGAATCTTCATTTAGCCAAGATTTTCAAAAGAGAACTGGTACAAAACAAACAAAAAATAAGCAATTTATAGCTCCTGAAACACATAAAGGTAAATTTTCTGTGAAATCAGATATTTGGTCGATTGGTTTGCTTACAATTGAACTTTTAACAGGAGCGTCACCTAAATCTGCATATTTTAATTTATCCACTCTTGAGGTTCTCACTAGTAACAATTCAGGTGCAGCTAGAGACTTTATTAAATCATGCCTCGAGATTGATCCAGAAGCAAGGCCATCACTTGATAAGCTTCGTCATCATAAATTCATAAAAATGTCCAAAGGAAAAAAATATGTAATGCAAAAACTTAAAAGTATTTCTCCATTATCCAATAAAAAAAATGAAGTTAATTTTTCACCAGCTCATATTCCCCATACCAAGACCAAAATAAGGACAAAATCGGATGATATTTTAGGATTTGAATTTGATGCTTCGTCATTACTATCACCAGAAAAGAAAATTCGCAGAGTATCTGGTAGTGAAATTCAAATTGGCAGATTCACGATTTCTAAAGCCGTGAAAGAAGAGCCTAAAGATCAAAAGACATCAAATTCTTCATCAGATGAAACATACAGCCTTGATTCAATGGAATCCCAAATTAATGATTTAAATGACAGAACTTCTGCACTTGAATCTAGTAATGATGAAATGATGAAAAAAATACAAAATTTACTACAGACAGTGAGAAAGATGAAAAAAGAGTGATTGACTTATTTTTATTTTATTTCCATTGTTTAAAAAAATATGTTTTATTCCTATATTTCCTCATTTCTTTTCAATTTCTCAAATTCAAACATTTTCTAAGCTTATTTGTTCGATCCTTGATTTAATTTTTCTTGTTCCAATATGCTCTTTTATATTTTTTTCATTCTTCAAGTTTTTCAAGTTATTCCCCAAAACGTAGCAAATGTTTGGAATATGTCAATGGAAAAGCCTATTTTAATATACTTTTTAATTTATGGATGTCCTGATTGCAAACCGTACTTTCCAATTTGGAAGAAAATTGTTGAAAAATATGATAATAATGAAAACTTTTTTTTAGCTGAAGCCAACTGTAGAACTCACCGAATTCTCCGAAGAATTTATGGTATTACATGGGTTCCTAGTTTCGTAACTGTTTATAAAAATCAAGCAAATCTTGAACAAGTTGAAAGTTCAATGGAATCGATGGAAAAAGTTATATCAAAAATGCAAGCGCTACGGAATTTTTCCAATAATGCTATAAGTAATACTGATAGCGATTTAGATAACAGAGTAATTAAAAATCCAGAAGAATGTAAAAAAATTGGAAAAACGATTTTGAATTATCCTTCTTTTGTTGTAGGTAGCTTATTTTCAAATCCTTGTCAAAAAGTTTTAAAACTTCAGCAAAACTATCCACAACTCAAAAGTAATTTCTATTATACAGAATCTCGCGAAACGCTAGGATATATTGCACTAAGACCTGATAAGATTATACATTTCGAAAATAATATTTATTCAAATAATTTTGATGATTTTATACGCGAATTTACTTTTCAATCTTTGGGTGATTGGAATATAAGCGATACATTTAATGTATCAAGACGGATTGCTTTTTTTATTTACAAGTATGAAGATCAATTATCTTCATATAAATCATTAATGAAATTTTATGATTCATATATTTTGTTTGGGAAAATTGATATTGAATCTTTTCAATCACTTTTTCCATCTATTTATGTAGATATTAAATTGATTCCTGCTCTTGCCATCTCAAATAAAAGAAAAACACTATTTACCGTACTCAACAATAGGAGAGGTTTCAATAGAGTACTTCGAACAATTTTATCCGGAAAAGGAGAAAGGCTGATGAAGCACTCATTAAATCCAATTTTTCCAAATGTGCAAAAAGAAAATGGAATGTTCATTGGATTATTAATTATGTCAATTTCTGTTGTTTTTACTACAGCATATGTCATTATAATTAGAGCTAGAAAATGTATTAATATATACAAATTAGCTCCTTTGAAGAATTCTTCTTTTCTTTAAATAAAAAGGCAATGCAGAAGTATAAAATGAGCGTATTTAAATCATCGCTCCTTCTGATTTAGAAGATGGATGTTAATATCCTAACCAGTCTTTCATTAGTATCTCAATTTCCGACGAAAACTGCATAGAATGTTTGTAAACAATTTTATAAAAATATTTTAGAATTTATATAAACAAATTATATTAACTATTT